ACGAGATCAAACACCTAACAGGGATGGTATTGTTCAAGCATAAAGAAAATAATAACAAAGTAGCAGGTTATCAGAGAGCCCGCCGAATGAAACACAGCCCCTGAAAGGATTCAGGAAGCAATGAGAGAACAGGGGGCAGAATGCAGAACGCAGATTGACAATACGCAATCTATACATCAATGAAAGACATCAATTGAAGATTCAATTGAAGAATCGCCTGGTTGTACAGGCCCGGCGCTCGCCGTTCGACATATATATATACATTCACTGTTATAGCTCATGCGATAAAATACTACGAGCATGTACTTTTGCGGTTTTTAACTTTTTAGTTTAATAACAAGAGAAATTCTGGGACACAATCATACACAGCAGTAAACAAAAAGTACGACCGCTAATGATTGCGTCCCAGATTTTTGGTTTAGCCAGTCGCCGAATTGGGATCCTCGGAGACTTGCAGGAGTTAATCAGCAGCAACATTCTTTTTTGAATACAGACGAATGTTGTGCAGAATGCAACACCCATCATGTTGCATACTGTAATGGTGCAGACCAGAACAAGAACCGACCTCCCAATACAAAGTACAAGATAGCACAGCGGAAGACTTAGATACCAATAATTCGAACAATCAATATTGCAATGCAGCCCTGAACATACATCATCATCATCGTTACATGGTGTGAATGGGGTCTGGTGCTTCACACAGGAAGGCTGCGCCAGCCCCTACCATACACAGACGAAGAAGAAGGGGGTTAGACGAAGAGGAGGGGAAGATGGGAATGTCGTCAACACCAAGTCTTCGGCGGAGGCCCAAATAGTCCCTCGTCGAAATGTCTGAATCCCAAATGTCAAGTCTGGATACAATGTCGTCAAGTCCCAAGTCACAACTCTCTCTCTGTAGTAGTCCGCTGATACTGAGAAGTCAGGTGATGAGAGGGGAAGAAGAGATGGTGGACTTAGAAGAAGAGGAAGAAGAACTCTCTTTCTCTCTCTCTCTCAGTCCAGTACTAACCTGTGAAGTTGACGCCTTGATGCAGGTACCTCGAAGATGGAGCTGGAGCTATGGCGCCACAGGTAAGTCTCGCTGGCCTCCGCCAGCCATCTCTCCCAACTCTACTACCTACCACCTACTAGCGCCCAGCGCTGAAGACTACTGCTATGGCTACTAGCGCCCAGCGCTGAAGACTACTGCTAGCGCTAAGCTACTCCCTGCGACGCTCCTCCTGAGTGCTGCGCTGAATCCTGAAGACTACTCGTGCCTACTGTCCAACTACCTACCCGTGAAGTGCATGGGAACTTCCTATGTACTACCGGGTGCCTCCTGACTGCAGGTGAGGCAGTCCAGGAGGCTGCTCTTGCCAATGCCGAAGGGAGGCAGGGGCTGCAGCTGCAGCTCCTGCTTGCTGTCGTGGGGAACAGGCCACAAATAGCCTGTTCCCGAAACCCTGTTTTTGTGCCTGAGTCTTAGGTAGGTCGAACACAATGAGGGCCTGAAAATGGCCCTCTGTTTCAGGCTGAAAAGCCTCTGGGCCTGAAAGGCCCCGAAATAGGCTGAAAACGGAATAGGGCCTGCAGGCCCTCGTTTTTCAGTTTCAGGCTGAAACGACCGGGGCCTGTAAGCCCTATTTTCTAGGCTTTTAGGCTGAAAGTGC